CACACACACACACACACACACACACACACACACACACACACTGCAAAAGCAGCTTTGGTAATAATGTCTTAGTGCATTCATAACCCTATTTTTAAAATGACTTTGTCTATTTTGTGTGACTGTGGTACATTAAGTGTTTGCTACTGTATGTGTGCAACAGAGTAGCCTATTTATTACAAGAAAAGTCTGGTTTTTCACGGTGTTGAGTAACATAAGGCTGAAACCAGCAGCCAGCCACATCCTCTCTGCACAGGGTCTCATTCTGAAACAGCTAATATCGCCTGTGCGAGGCAGCGCTGTGATTGGTCAGAAACATCACCTCACTGCACCACTCTTTGCTGGGTGACTTTAAAATCTGTTTTATGGCAGGTCGTCGTGACATATAATCAAACACATCCACTTTTTGAGACTTCAGGCACAGCATTCTCTTCAATTAAGTAGGCTTTAGTATTTTTTTTAATGAGAAACATCCCTACCTCAATTTCTGAAAAACTTATTTAACTAGTCATAATACCATATAACTTATATATTATGAATATACTAGACTTTGAGTTTTCTTTCTGTGTATATTTCATTCATTTCAAAGGGCCCCCTTTGCATCAAGGAGGGGACAGTGCTAGAAATCTGGCAAATATTACCCTACCCTCAAACTGCAGAAATAAATACTTATTTATTGGTGGTTGCCAAGATGAAGTAAGAAACAAGGCCGAGATTAATAAAAAGAAATCCACTTCTTTTTATACTCACAAAAGTGTTGATGTGTAAAAACTAAAACCAAAATGGTACGTCATAGCCTAAATATGAAAGAAACCCTGAGCCATATTGTATATCTGCTTTGCAGATGCAAAACATTATATGCAGCTGCAGATCTAGAATATGACTGAGTATTAGGGCCACCTAATAGATTTTTTAAAAAATTACAATAATATAGTCATAAATACATAAAGTTTAAATATTACTAGAATAAAAATGGAATAATATGAGACTAAAGCCATAATATTATGAGAACTCCTGCAAAAAAAAATAAAATAAAAAAATAAAAAAATCAGTCTTACTAAAAGAGAAATGTTGAGCATCTTATGCAGTTATACTTTGATATCAAATTAACAAATAAAGAAATACTTAATCTTTTTTTACATACTTTTTCTTAATCTAACACATCAGCATCAAATTATTATTAGCGGGACTTTGAAACAATTTTGTCAACAGCTGTGTCTATTTCAAAGACTTTATTCTCATATTATTTCAGCTTTATTCTGTAATATAGACTTTTTTCTGGTAAAATGATTAGTAATTTATTATCGTAATTTAAAACAAATTTTCTTAAACTGGCTCTAATACTCTTCGTACTAGACAGTGTAAAAGTAAAGTGATTATGTGATAAACCGGCTTGCCATACAAGTAGCTCCGGTGCTCCCGTCTACCACAGAAGCTACTGGCTTCAGTTTCAGTAGCTCCCCAGTAGCTACAAAAATAAAGCCCAATAAGCTTCTAACACAAAGTTTTCTGTTACAAAAAATAAAAATAAACAAAAAGTAAAAATAAATAAAACAAACTCTTGTGTCTAACACGGATGATGCGGTTGTAGTTCTAGCATCATTGCTGAGCCACTGTGGCGAATAAAACGGTGAGTTTAGAAACTCATCAGCTCGACGCTGATTGGCCAGAGGTCCTCTGACGTCACCCCACTGAAAAGCTCCGTGAGAGACGAGTAAAAAAGAAAACGAAGATAAACAGAGATGAAGAAACGAGACTGGCTTTCACGTAAATAGTCAGTCTTTGCCTCTGGAACTGGGTGACACAAAGCGTGGACTGTCTGAGACGCTCTGTGGAGAAACAGGAGATATTTAAATACCTTTACCGCTGCGGGGCAAGACTTGCCCCTGTGTTAAAGTCTGCCAGCATATTAGCCTGAACAGGTATGTATCTAATTACTGCATTTTTTTTACTTGTTTTCTGTAAAAGTCTGCTATGATTAAATTGACTGAAATTCAGCTACCAGCAGATAAAATATGACTCAGCAACATTTAATGCTGTTTTTAAAATTATTATTTGTTTCATTGTTATAGGCATTCTCATGTTGTAATGAATGTATTATTTTCTAATATTTTTACACACTGTGCCTTTTATCCTTTAAAATAATTAGGAACGTACAGAAGCTTACTTTTCAGATACTGATGTTCTTAAAACAAGACAAACAAACAACAACAACAACAACAAAAAAAAAAAGGCATGAGCTATTAATCACCTGCTGAGTGGTTCTGGTACATTCCAGCACAAATTGTAAACTTTTTCAGTCAATGAGCTAAAACACTTCTGAACACCAGGTACCAGTTCAGCTTCAGGTGAAGTCCTCCATATTATTCAAAACTAAAAGCTGAGGAGTCTGTTTTGAGGGACTCTTCCTCTTTTTTTTTTATTTATTTATTTTTTTTTGTCTCTGACAAGACAGGCTATTTTTGGATGAAGCTGCTCAGCACCATGCAGTAAAAAGCTCTGTAACAATCAGCTGTGAGGGATGATGTAATTCAGTGCTCGGATGGAAAATGTAGTGAATAACTGAACCTCATGGTTCTTTAGTCTGATGGGCTTGTTTTCCCCCTTAAGGAGGGCCTCATTTTGGTTTGATCACGTGATACATAGAAGAGGTATGTTGGCATTTTTCCATGTTTTCTTYGCCAAACGGGTCAAGGTCAACCCTCCTCATCTGTTAATGAGCAACTTTTAAAGCTCCACCTACTGATTTTGTCACCGAACCTTGTGTTATCTAATTGGCATCTGGTGCAGGGAAACATAACACCAGCAGGCCTGATGTGACTGATTTCACTCTTGTTTTTTGTCTCAGTGCTCATTTGAACATGCAAATTATGTTAACATCTTCCGGAAAAGCAACAAATATTTGGCTTTCCATCCCTCCATCCATCCATTTTCTTCCGCCTATCTGGGGTCGGGTCACGGGGGCAGCAGCTTCAGAATGGAGGCCCAGACCTCCCTTTCCCCAGCCACTTCTTCCAGCTCCTCCGGGGGAACTCCAAGGCGTTCCCAGGCCAGCCGAGAGACATAGTCCCTCCAGCGTGTCCTGGGTCTTCCTCTGGGCCTCCTCCCAGTGGGACGTGCCCAGAAAACCTCACCAGGAAGGCGTCCAGGAGGCATCCTTATCAGATGCCCGAGCCACCTCAACTGGCTCCTCTCGACGTGGAGGAGCAGTGGCTCTACTCTGAGTCCCTCCTGGATGACCGAGCTTCTCACCCTATCCCTAAGGGAGAGCCCAGCCACCCAGCGGAGGAAACCCATTTCGGCCGCTTGTATCCGGGACCTCGTTCTTTCRGTCATGACCCAAAGCTCATGACCATAGATGAGGGTAGGAACGTAGGTCGACCGGTAAATCGAGAGCTTCGCTTTCTGACTCAGCTCTCTCTTCACCACGACGGACCGGTACAGCGCCCGCTTTACAGCAGACGCTGCGCCAATCCGCCTGTCGATCTCCCGCTCCCTTCTTCTCCCATTCGTGAACAAGATCCCCAGATACTTAAACTCCTCCACTTGAGGCAGGACGACCCCCCTGACCCAGAGAAGGCACTCCTTTTCCGGCTCAAGACCATGGCCTCGGATTTGGAGGCACTGAGCCTCATCCCGGCTGCTTCGCACTCGGCCGCGAACCGCTCCAGCGAGAGCTGCAGATCTCGTTCCGATGAAGCCAACAGATCCGCAAAAAGCAGAGATGCGATCCTAAGGCCACCAAAATGGATCCCCTCAGCACCTCGGCTGCATCTAGAAATTCTGTCCATGAAAGTAATGAACAGAATCGGTGACAAAGGGCAGCCTTGGCGGAGTCCAACTCTCACCGGAAACGAGCCCGACTTACTGCCGGCAATGCGAACCAGACTCTGACACCGGTCGTACAAGGACCTGACAGCCCATATCAAATGGCCCGGTACCCCATACTACCAGAGAACCCCCCACAAGGCCCCCGTTGGGACATGGTCGAACACCTTCTCCAAGTCCACAAAACACATGTAGACCGGTTGGGCGAACTCCCATGCACCCTCCAGGACCCTGCTGAGGGTGTAGAGCTGGTCCAGTGTTCCACGACCAGGAYRAAAACCACACTGCTCTTCCTGAATCCGAGGTTCGACTATCCGACAGACCCTCCTCTCCAGGACCCCTGAATAGACCTTACCAGGGAGGCTTAAGAGTGTGAATTAGGCGTTTTATTTTTTTATTTTATTTTTTTGGAAAGACCTCTAAACCCTCATAGTGTAAAACTTGTCCTCTTTTCTTTGCAAGAGCATGAAGTGATTTGTTGCAAACACACACAAACATACAGGTCCATGATGATGAAACAAATACACGCCTGGTTGTTTTGTAACGGTATCTTTTTATATTCTGGTGCTCTCGCTGCTACGCTGCTCCAGTTTCAGCTCGGCTAATATAAGACATGGAAGGTCTTAATATTGCAGACACTTTAGAAGTGCAGACCGGTCTAACTTAAGTCTGGAAAACAGTTGGATAGGATTTCCAGGCTAATGAGAAAGAAGAGACGGAGGTTGGGGCGCAGTGTCAACCTACAACCAGCTTTTTTTTAAAAATTGCACAAACACTTCTTCAATTTTATCACTAATATTATAAAGACACAGGATGTCATCCTCAAGAGAGACCTGTTCAAAACAAACCCCAGGTAACAATGTAAATTCATTAACACAGCTTATTTGTATAAATTACCCCAGTTTGAAAATAAGTGCAAATATGAAACATAAAATAATATTTATAGGAAAGGAACAATTTTAATCCATTTTGCCTCCCATTTAACAGAGTGCCTCTGTTTCAGGTGTCGAAACAAATTTGTTGTACTCCTGCTTTTTGTAGCAAGAGCCTTCAAACAGATTTTGCAGTGAGGTGTTTGTTGCTCCAAGTCTGAGATTGCGAAACCTAACCAGTTCCAGATAACTGAAGTACCAGTGCCTTTTGTGAGAAGTAGATCGTCTTTGCTAGGCTAACATTCTGTCATGTCATGTAAGCGTCTTGACGGACAAATGGGATGACCTCTGAACTACAGAAACCCCAAAGAGAGCACTGGTGTGGAAAAAAAAATCTCCATTTTCCCAAAATTAAACCTTTATAAATGGCAAATTCGAATTAATAGATTAAATTGATTTATCGCCCAAACCTAATTTCAAACAATGTAACTTTAACTTTGTAAGCATTTACTTGTGTTTAAAGATGGGACAAAACATAAATTATTAATGTCAAATGCAAAATATCCAAAATTGGGCAAACAACTAGTGTGAAAATAAACATCTGTGTCATCAGCATACATGTGTAAGATGCATCAGTAACATTAGATTCTACAACGTTAATGCAAAATAAATAAATAAATAAATAAATAAATAAAAAGAGGTACCAAAACAAAGCCTTGAGGCACACCTTTTGTGATATCTGAGTAAATAGAAGAGAGAAAGCACATTGCTTATAAAATATATAAGCAATAATATATTTGAAAAACAGACAGTAATTATTAAGTTATATTAAGATGCTGCAATCTACAGAGTCAAACGCTCAAGACAAATCTATAAAAAAGTACAGAATTGTAATACTGTGTCCTAACACCTGTAGTCCAGTACATCTTCATCTGATGAGTCACAAGTTTCTCAAACACCTTGAACAGGATGTAGTGTTTCGAAATAGTCAGGTGGCTATTTAGTCCTGTAGTTTCACCATCGTTGAATAATGAATAAACTCTGAAACAACTCTTTTTGTTCTCTCCTCTCATTTCCCCTGTTCGTTCGGACAGACCCGTCAGACCATGAACTACGTGGGCCAGCTGGCGGGCCAGGTGTTCGTCCAGGTCAAGGAGCTGTACCGAGGCCTCAACCCCGCCACCCTCTCCGGCTGCATCGACGTGATCGTGGTGAGGCGGCCCGACGGCTCGCTGCACTGCTCGCCCTTCCACGTGCGCTTCGGGAAAATGGGCGTCCTGCGCTCCCGAGAGAAAGTGGTAAGATCTTATAAAAGCAACGTTAAGAATTATAGGGAAAAGTCCGGATCATGTACGTCATAACCCCTTATTTCTCTTTGCTTCAGGTGGACATAGAAATCAACGGAGAACCGGTGGATCTTCACATGAAGCTTGGGGACAATGGAGAGGCGTTCTTCGTGCAGGAAACAGAAAACGATCAGGTAATGACATAACCAGAACACAACCAGTGAACTGTTTCAGGCACGTCGCTGAGATTTAATGCTAATAGCACTGCTAATGCTGTTAACACTGTTAACGCTGCTAACACTCTTAGCAGTGTTAGCATCCGGTGTCAGAGCTGAACTTTAAACTGTCGGACGGCAGGTACCATCTGTAATGTTTTCTATGAACATATTTTGAATTAAAATCTTCAGCAGAGTTAGCATCATTAGCAGCGTTAGCAGTGCTAACAGCATTAGCAGCATTAGCAGTGTTAGCAGCACTAGCAGCATTAGCAGTTTTAGCAGTATTAGCAGCACTAGCAGCGTCAGCAGAGTTAGCAGCATTAGCAGTGTTAGCAGTATTAGCGGTGCTTGCAGCGTTAGCAGCCTTAGCAATGTTAGCAGCAGTATTGGTTGCTTTTGTCCATCTGTGTTCAAAAGGCAGAAATGGTAGTAGCTGATACTAATCCCAACACAAAATCACTTCCCCATTATCAGTAATTTTGTGTTTTTTATTTGCTATTTTTTGACCAAAAAAAGGCAAAAAAATTAAAAAGTTATAAAAACGAAACTAAAAAACCATCACAAACACAAAACCTATTATTAACCTAATTTAGTTAAGTTAAATTAAATTAAATTAAATTAAATTAAATTAAATTAAATTAAATTAAATTAAAAATAGTAACTCCACCAGAGTGTCACTTTTGGTGGCACTTTGCTGGTCCCAAACCCGGATTAAGGAGGAGGGTTGAATGAATGAAGAGCAGCTCCACACAGCAGTGTTTTGGCACAGAGAAACATCTACCCGGTAAATAGTGGCTCTTCAGGGCCCAGACTGGACACCTCTAGTCTAGCACATGGGTCTGCAACTCATTGGCTTATTAATAAAATGTGTCCGGAGTCACAAAATGTGCTACAACTGGGATTATCAACTGGTGGCCCATGGGCCAATTCAGGTTCGTTGAAGGGGGGCCTTTCAGGCCAGTGAGGGGGACATTATAAAACTAACAATAGATAGAGAATATTAATATTTATATTTACTTTTGCAATTTAGGGCGAAAGATTAATATAAACAAGAAAATTACTGCATTTAGTTTTATACAAATTTAAATAAAAAACTWCAATTGAACTCTGAAGGAATAATTATTATTTTTAGTTCTTATTATCTAGTATAGTCCTAAAGGCCTTTAAAGGCAGCCCTGATTAGTTTGAAACAATGATCATTCATTAAGGCTGGAAGTACTATTATTGAAGTGGCTAACAGGCTAATAGCATGATCTAATCCAGTGTTTTTCAAAGTGGGGACCACCAGTGGGAGTCTCAGAAAGCTGGAGGGAAGATAATAAAAAAGAAAAAGAAAAAAAATCAAATCTGTTTTGTAATCTTTGTCATTTCTGATTGGCTGACGGGCAAATTTATCAAGCTGTGTTGCTCTTCAAGCTAGCATAACAAACTAGCATCTCTTGTCATGCTGTGCCTCGACTGTGTGTCTGGCGCTGTGTCCAAAACCGTGGGCCGGGTCCTCCGAAGGCTGAATTCATCGGCCGCATACGTCACAGCGCCGCGACGAAGGCCGTCCCAAACCAAAGACTCCTCCGATGCAGCCGACAAATGCGTCCTTCCTTTGGCCTGAATCGATGGACTGGTCTGATGGATCCTTCCCGGCCCAGTGTATCCCATAATGCATTGCGGTCCGACTGGAGATTTTTTTATGCTAGCAATGGCGGACATAGCGGGAGAAAAGAATACATTTTAAATAAAAATATGGCGATATAAAAGTTAAAAATTTCTAGAGGTTGTAATTCAAATACTTTTAATCATTTGTATAAAAGTGATTTTAAATACTATTTTTGTCATAAAAAACGCGAAATAAACATGCACCTGCGGTGGGTCAATTAGTTCTTAAAATATTACCATAAAGTGTTACCATGGACAATCAGTGCTGAAGACTTAGAATAAAATGAAATTTTATAGCCACTCAGCCCTTAAAACTTCACAACTCTTCTGTAAATTCAGGTTCATTTCACTCAGTCGTGTGTTACTCTTCACTTCACAAGCTGGACTGTTTGAATGTCAATCAGGAGGTGGGGGGGTGGGGAGATAATACAAAATCAATCCTTTTCTCTGGCAAATTAATCACATTGATTCATAGAGGCAAGTCTCCTGAGTATTGATGAAACATACAGTACGCTCCCTCAGCTCATTAAAAGTAAATTTAAACTCCACCCTTCCAGACACACCTTTTGAAAGTATTTTTCACACTTGACAGTTGAAACAAGGTCATGCTGTGTATTTCCCTCTCCTTTTTGAACAGTTTCCTTRTGTTTACATGTGAGAGCTATGAATGAAGTATTTACTGACCCCACATTCCAGTCAAACACTTTGCAGCCGTGGGTCATAACCCTGAAAGGTTTTCTACCAAGTATATATGCTTATAAAAGTAATGCAATTAGTGGCTTTGCTATTAGAAAACATAGTTTTTAAACAAGCCCTTGAATTTTGGGGCTTCCAGGTTTTTATTTTGCAAGTTAAGGAGCCATGTACTTTGACAGTAAAATGTTTTTTTTCACCCTCATGAAGACGTGTCCAGCCAAAAGAAATAAACAAGCAATAAAGCACTGAGGCTCTAACAAGAGAAGCAGGCRATTTATTTTCCCCAGAGTGGTGTCGTATTCCCAGGCTTTGAAAGAGCAAGGGGCCGAGTGGGGGTGAGGGGGAGTGCTGTGCCTCTGAGTCCGTTTTCTTGGCACGGGGGAAGAAAAACGTGATGTGGTATTGTCAGGCTACATATCAGATGGTTCAGCATTAGTTTCCCTTCCGTTTTTCTTTTTTTTCTTTTTTTTTTTCCATTTACCCGCACACATTTCAATGCTTTGCAGTGATAAACTAATCCTAGAAAACATTCTCCTTTCCTAGAAGCGGAGGCAAAGAGGGTTGAAAACATTCTTTAAAAAAACTGGGTAAAAAAAGATTTTTTTTTTTTTGTTTTGACTTGTGGACATGCAAAACCAAAAAAAGAAGTATTTTTGTGTGCACAATTCAGAACTGCAAACTTAACAGTTTAGGTTTTGCATCCAGTCAAAATGATCCTCCCTCATTGAAATTAACTTTATACAAACAAGGTTTTGCATTTAGTTTTGTTTATTTTCCCCCAAAATTATCTCAAGTGTTTGCATCACATTTTATAGTTGGCTATGCTTGATATACTTCACCCAAAATATTCATTACCCTGCTTGTATTTTTGCTMCACGCAGGAAGTTGTTCCCTCCCACTTGGCCACCTCTCCCATCTTGTCAGATGGGGCCGTTTTGATGAGCTCCCCCCTGCTGGGGAAGAACTCGGGGTCTCCCGTACAGAACCTGGGCTCCCTGGGGAGCGGTGGAGAGAACAAGAAGAGGAGGAAGAGGAGGAGGAAGAGCCGGGCGGACAGCACGAGGAGGGAGGAGAGCGGAGACTACTCGGCGAACGAAGACATGTTTTCCATCGACATGAGCTCTGACGAAGACGGGGAAATGGAGAGCAACAGGTAAAACGGAGAGAGAGAGAACGTATGAGGACGTGAAGACAAAACTACCGTTATTTCTACATTAGAGCCGCAAACAGGAATGATTTGAAGGTTTCTACTAGAGCTGCACGATATATCATTTGAGCGTTGTCACCACAACATGTGTATGCAGTAGTCAATCCCATGATGCTGGAGGCAAATTAAATCAACGTCTTATCTAAGCCATAAGTCATAGCACTAAATGATTGTGTGTTACAGCTTTTATTTTGATGGGTTGATTCTGATGGCAGAAGCAGGTGGCTTCGTGTAAAAGAAGAAAAACAACTAAAACTAATTTTGTTGTGAAACTTCTGGGACAATATGAGCACATTTGCTGAGAACTGGAGGAAGAGAGGCAAAATATGGTTAGCATGAATGCTAGAAACAAAGATGGACAAAAGAGGCAACGTTAGGACACATTAGGATATGTACTCATGTCCCAGCACAATAAAAGCAATAAAAGATAACAAGAATAACTTTCAAATACAGACAAAAAAACATACTTGTAATGCGCACAAAATCTAACAAGATGGCAGCATAACTTAAAGTGGTATTCAAGTTTTCTGTTGAAAATTCCTGTATTTTTTCATATCGCACAATTAGAAAAATATTGCATTGTCAGTTTTTTACAGTATCTTGCCCTAGTTTCTACAAAACATAACTATGATAAAACGCTAACTACAGACCTTTTTTATATATATACT